TGGCATCCTGAAGAGGATCCGTGCCCACGAGCCTGGCCAGCAAACTAAGCTAACCGCTCGAGACGTCCTCAACATCGGGCCCCCCTTGGGGGCGAAGCATGAGCGCCTCGCTCGAGACATCCTCCAAATATGCTCCGAAAGCGGATAATGATACGGCACCGAAACAGGCAAACCGCTCGAGACATCCCCACCATGCTGGCGCGAACGGAAGCCGTGCAATACCCCTTGGCGGTTCCCCCTTGGGGGTGCTGAAATCCGCGCCTCGCTTGAGACGTCCTCAGAATCTGCTCTGAGCGCAGACGAGCCTGGCACCCAAAACAAGTAAACCGCTCGAGACATCCACGCCATCTGGGCCACTCTAGTGGTGCACAATGAGCGCCTCGCTCGAGACATCCTCCAAGTCTGCTCCGAAAGCGGAGGATGTTACGGCACCGAAACAGGCAAACCGTCCGAGATATCCCTGCCATTTTTGGCGCGAACGGAAGCCGTGCAATACATTTTGGCGGCTCCCCCTTGGGGGTGCTGAAATCCGCGCCTCGCTTGAGACGTCCTCAGAATCTGCTCTGAGCGCAGACGAGCCTGGCCCCCAACACAAGCAAACCGCTCGAGACATCCTCGCCAACTGGCCCCCCTAGGGTGCTCATCATCAGCTTCATCATCGTCATCATCATCATCAACACCGTCACCTTCATCATCGCCATTACCATCATGACATAACATAACAAACATACCATCACATCACATGCCACGCCATACCATAACATACCGTAACCGAACATGCCATACTCATCAGATTCTGAGTGCACCCTCATACTCTGGAGTAGGATGGGGGCGAGAGGGAGGAGGAAATGTGAGAGAAAGTCCGCGCGGTCACAGTAATGACAAGAACCCCATCCTTCGGAGATGGGGAGTCACATAGCATAGCATACGTTAACATAGCACATCAGACTATGACATAATATACCATACCATAACATGGTATATCATACTTTGAATGGGGTAGGGGAGAGACGGAGGAGGGGAGGAGGTGCGAGGAAGGAGTCGGCGCGGTCTGAGTAATAACAAGAACCCCATCCTGTGGATATGGTGAATCACACGAACCCCATCCATTGGATATAAAGAATAACACGTTGCCCACTCTTTGGATATGGGGAATAACAAGAACCCCACCCTTTGGATATGGGGATAACATAACATGACATACCATACAATGACACAACACATCATTACATAACATGACACACCATGACATCACATGGTATATCATAGTGTAAGTGGGATTGGGGAAGAGAAGGAGGAGGGGAGGAGGCTTGAGGAAGGAGCCGGCGCATGTCAGAGTAATCCCAAATACCCAATCTTTTGTACATGGGGAACAAGATCCCCATCCGTTGTATATGGGGGAAACCAAGTGCCACGAAACATATCAAAAACATACGGTTTCGCAACACGGGGTTCCCAAACATACGTGCGCCCGCGCTAGTGGGAATTCTTTAGAAAACCGTAGGTTTTTCAACATGTTCAGGACATGCTACCAAACGGGCCTCTCGCGCGCGCATGTCGACATCGCTCGAACGCTCTTGCGCGCGTGTTGTCGCAGTAATGGATTGCTACAAACATGGTGAAGTGCACGCGCGCGCGTCGTCGCGCGCGCATGCCGACATCTTTCAAAAAAGCGTCACGTTTCGGGAGGGTTTCAAAAACGAGTGCCCTGGAACCATGTCAAAACACATGGATTTGTTACGCCAGTCTTCAATACAATCCTGCGCTCGCAATCTTGCGGATTCTTCAGGAAACCACAAGTGTTTCAGCAGCTTCATCAAAGTCAGCCAGCCGGGCCTCTCGCGCCGCATGCGCGCGTGCTGGGGGGGGCGGGGGGGCACGATCCGTGTCAAATACTGCCACGCGGGCCACTCGCGCGCCTCGGCCTCACCTCGTCAGGACATCGTCATCTTTACCGGCGGGCGTGATCAACATCGGCGCCGCTATTGGCCATGCCATTGTCATGGTCACCGTCGTCACCATCATAGTTATTTGCATAATCGTGTCTACCGGTGTCGGCGCCGCCATGATACCGCGCCCGCCCGAGCCGCGGTTTCGCATTGAAGTGCCCCCCCGCTGGGAAGTGCCCAGCGGTCAGCGCCACCGCGGCCGCGTCGGTCGCGCCAAACTAGCTGGCCGCTGCGCGCTCGAGCACGCGAGGGCGGGCGCGGCCGCAGACATGCACCAGCCAACTCCAAGCACGCAGCGCAATCGCCGCCGCATGGGTTTTGCAAACCAAGTTGCGGGTGGGTGGGTGGAATAATTGCAAGGGAGTGGCACAACAGAGGTTACATACATATAACGCATAACATATGTTCTCGTGTTCTTCATCAACAAAGCCTCAACGCACGCAAATAACGCACGCGTAGATATAACGTCGGTTATATACACAAAACATACGCACGCACGAATCGACCATACAGGTTGCATACATGTCTCGCACAACATAGGTTACATATAAAGAGCGCACGCACAACATAACGTTTTTGTGTCAAAATAATTTCGGACCTCCCCCCTCCCATCCCGCCCCAGTTGAAAAACAAAACCCGTTTCGAATGTCAATTTACTTGCGATTCAGCCACATCATCCCAGGCAGGCCAGTAACGTATCCCTCCTCGTCTCGTACAGAACGGGACCCAATGCCCGTGCGCGCGTCGTCGCACGCGCATGCCCGAATTCTTCAAACATTTAAGTTTCGTAAGAATTTCAAAATCGAGAGTCACGACCGCATATGGGGAAAATAATTTGGCTTCCCAATGCGGATTTTCAAACACAAAAATACTTGATCCCGCGTTCTGGTGAATTCCGAAGACAAGCCTAAATTTTTCAACAAGTGCACAACATACTGCCAAGCGGGCCTCCGCGCGCACGTGTCGACATCGCTCGTGCGCCCTTGCGCGCGTGCTGACGCAAGAATCCTTTTTTCGTAAGAAGCGGGACGAATTGCACGCGCGCGCGTCGTCGCGCGCGCAGGCCGACGTCTTTCAAAAACGTTGGGGTGTGGACGGGTTTCAAAAACGACTGCCCCGGAAACATGTAACCACACAGTCCTGCAACAGAAGTTTTCCAAATTAGCCCGTTCGCGCATTCATGCAAATGCTGAGAAACACCCTAGGTTTGTTTCAAGAGTGCCATCGAATTCTGCAAAACAGGTTTTTCGCGCCGCGTGTCGAAATCATCCGGACGTCCTTGCGCGCGTGCTGGGGTGGGGGGGGGCGCGATCCGTATCAAATAATGCCACGCGGGCCACTCGCGCGCGTCTGCCGTTCGCGCATGTCGAGTTCTTTCCAAAACCTTAATTTCCGACGCGAGGACATCGTCATCTTTATCGGCGGGCGTGATCAACATCGGCGCCGCCATTGGCCTTGCCGTCGTCATTGCCACCATCATCACCATCACCGCTGCTCCGCATCATCGCGTCTACCGTTGTCGGCGTCGCCGTGATACCGCGCCCGCCCAAATCACCGACTCGCATTGAAATGCCCGCTGGGAAGTGCCCAGCGGTCAGCGCCACCACGGCCGCGCTGGTCGCGCCGCACTAGTTGGCTGCTGCGCGCGCGAGCATGCGCGGGTTAGCGAGAGATGCATCACCCAGTTCCAAGCACTCACCGCAGTCTCCGCCGCATGCGCTTTGCAAGCCAAGCTGTGGGTGGGCGTGTGGAATGATTCCAAGGGCATGGCATGTGTCAATTCATTTGCAGTAATCAAGCGCATCACAAATATTTGCTCCACGTAGGTTGTCCAACATAGATTGCATCGCATGACATGTTCATATTGTTCCCGCTCACATGAAGCCAAGCTGCAGGTGGGTGGGCGGGAGGGCTGCGCGAGCGGAGTTGGCAAATCATTGCGGGCATTGGATTGTACCCCGTTGAACGTACAACGTATAATTTGCAGAATCCATGTTGTACCACGTGGAACGCGTCGCATATGTTGCGTCACATATCATGCCCCGAGGAAGATGACACAACATGTGTTGCACAATAGTTCCTGCACCACATAGGCTGTACCGCATAAACTGCACCACCTACATGTCCACCATAGATCGCACCACATAGGTAGCTAGTAGCACAACGTGTGGGATCCAATGTGGCCACTGCATACATCGAATCATGCATATATATACATGTATAACTGTACATGCGTATATATATAATGTAGTGGCCTCCGGCCATGTATATATGGATTCATGCTTTGGTGTTTGTATGTGTTGTGTGCTGCCCGCGTATGTTTACGACTACGTGACGCTCTTGCGGCTTCCCGCGCGCGTTCCTGACGGTGTTGCGAGTCGCCCGCCCGCGACGACCGAACAGTGTGCGCGTGTGTGTACGTGTGTTTGATGTTTGGTGTTCGGTGTTCGGTGTTTAGTGTTTGTGTGCGTGTGAATTGTCACCGTGGGACGCAACCCGTGACCTCTTGAACCCTGGATGTGCAAACGCCATTTTGCAAATTGTGTGTTGAAGAGATGTGGTGCACGATATGTCTTGCAATATATGTGGTGCAAGGTTTGTGGTGTGAGCGATGACGCGAGAGCTACGCGGATGGTGCATGCTACGTTGTACGTTGCTATGTGGTGTAAGCAATGTGGTGCGAGCTCTGTGGTGCACACAGCGCACGGGGTGGCCAGGCGGCCACGGTCGGCCACCAACTTGGCGCAACCACGGGAAACCAGCCAGATAAGCCAAATAGGAGCCTCGAGTGTAAGCGCTATGAATTATGTGAACATATGTATATTTGTATGGACATGTATTTGAGCGTCTCGGCATGCTTAAAATTCAACGCAGTGGATTGCGCGCCACATATCGCGCAGAGCCGCTGTTTCGGGCCCACGCTGATGTCAAAGGTCTCTTGCAGGAAGATGTCCCAACCTGTCCATCGATCGTTTTTTGGCTCAAAGTCAGGCGCCAGGGCGGGCCGAGCGCACCCCAGATGCGCCGCCCCTTGCCCACGGTCGCTGTGCCATGCCCGACGGCGGGAGGGAGCGCTGGCGGCCCGGGCAGCCCAGCAAGCAAGCAGGAGGGGCAGCCGCAGAGGCGCAGAAGGGTGCCCAGCTGCTGATCGACCTCAAGTACGCCAACGAACTGCCCAAACCCCCAGTGCCGAAGCTCCTGAAGGCGCTGCCCAGCGCCGAGAGGCTGTTCCAGTACCGGCCCACCTCGCTCGAGCTCGACCACCGCCCATTCCTTCTGTCCGAGGAGGGGCTGCTGAATCGCCTGGAGCTCGTCGACCCTGACGCGTACGGCGAGCCGGCTGCAAAGGGGTCTATGCCGCCCCCACCAGCGCCCGTGGACGCGCAGCTGCTGCGCGACGACGACGTGGGGCAGGATGTCAAAGAGGCTGAGCTCAAGCGTCGGCGGCTGACTGAGCGCACGGAGGCGTCGCACCGGCAGGCGTTCGGTTTGCAGTTGCCGCTGCTCATCACAAACGATGTGTTCACAGAGCGGCAGCGCCACACCACGGGCACCGAGGCGGCGGAGAAGAAGCTGGAGCGGCATCCACCAGGCTTCGAGTCGGTGCAACAGTTGGCTGATAAGATAGAGCAGTCATTCGCTGCCGCCAAGGAGGCGCCCGTGCATCCCACCAAGCCTGGTTTGCGCGCCAAGCGCGTCTTGCCCATCGTGCCAGACGCGGTTCTGTGGACGAATCGTTACCGACAGGTAGTATTCGACGAAGTGCCCGTGGAGCCGTCGAGGAACGATTTGCTGTTCAAGACGACGCCCAACCCAAGGTCGACGTGTTTCGGTTTCTTCTCCCCAGTCGACGGCACGGAGCTTGGCTCCTACAGCCTCATGCAGAATTACGTGTGGAGCAACCGCGGTGAGTTCACCCGGCGCAGCGCGTGCGGGGAGGGCCAGGCAATCTTGCTCTCCTTCCCCAAGGAAAATCCTGCCGAGGATGGCAAAGAGAGCGCGGCCGGTGAGGTCAGATTCGTGCAAGTGCCGACGCTGATGAGGTTGACGAAGCAGAAGGCCATGCGTTTGGACCTGAATCTCGACCTTCAGGCACTCAGCGTGAAGCACCGCGACCAGACCCCTGCTGAGATAGAGGAGGAGGCCCCGGTGGCCCGGCAGGTGCTGGTGGACGAGCCGGAAGAGGTGTCAGGGTCAACGTTGGGGGAGACCTGCTCGGGGAGGGGCATCGGCTTCCGATCGCCCTTTGATCGCCGATAGGCCCGATGACCCACTCTGCCTAGGAAGGTGCGATTTTGCCATCGGGGGCCCATCGCCGATCTATTGGCAAAGCATCGCCGATTCCAGCTCGATGTGTCCCCTTCCTGAGCCGGTCCTTCCTTATCGTTGCCCCTCAAGGTGGACAAGTCGGAGGCGAGCCTGGACTACATCGACGGCCAGTGGGTCATCCACCAGGACCCGCGGTCACAGGGCAAGTCCTCGGCCTCGAGGCCCACAGGGGCAGAGAGCAGCGCTTTCGGAAGCCAAGCCTTGCGGAGCGAGACTGGTGGCTCGGCCGGGTAGCCGCGCCCTTGTCTTCACGGCAGGCTTCGACGCGTGCGCGGGCGCGCGCATGCTTCCCGATCCGCATGCGTTGGTTAAGGGCGTGAGGCGCCAGAGCTCATGCGAATAGTGGCCTGCCGTTCTTTCTTATCTCTTCTCGCCTTTTGTTCCCACCTCCCCTCCGTTCTCCTCCTTCCGAAGTACCCTTTTTCTTCCTCATTGCTCCATTCTCTCATTCTCCCTCCCTCGCTCGGTTTTTCCCTCCGTCCATCCTTCAATACTCCTCCGCGTACCCCCTTTCCCCTCCCTCTGCCCCTCCTCGCCCTCCCCCTGCCCCTCCTCTTCCTCCCCCTGCCACCCTCCTTCTGCGCCTCTGTCTCCCCCTCCAGATCCTCATGCGTGTCCTCGTCCACTTCCTATCCCTCCCTACCTCCTACGTTTCTGATCCCTGTTGCCTCCTCCGTGTTCTTGTTTACCTGCCCTTCCGTCATCCTCATACCTCATCATACCTCCCCCACCTCGGGTGGCTTGTGGACGAGTCCTGGGTCCCAAACAAGACCCTAGTTCCCCAGGGAACTCGAACTGGTGTGAACCTCCCTCGTAACGACGTTGCGACGTGTTCTCTCGCCCGTATCTCCTTCTAGGGCGCCACTGGCACCTTGGAGCCCCTTGAAGCCGCAAACAGTGATAACATTCCGCGCCCTGAGGGCGCCACGATGCTGGGGGGGCCATTGGCGTAGTCCGATTCGGTGCGAATGTTCGTGGAAGCGCGCGCTCGGCGCGGTTGGAGGATTACCAGTAGGCGCCCGCCCCCCCCCCGTTTGCGATGAGATGCACACGTTTGAGAGAGATCGAATCGACGAGAATTTGAATGAAGCACTGGCGTTCGTGTGGAGAAGTTGGTTTGGAAATCTTGGATTGCTTCGGGAAATGGTGTCGATAGCTAGTCGAACGCATTTTCGGGATTGTACAGTTGCGATATAAGATCTTGGACATCCAAGGCCACCGTTGTCATTCGCCCCTTACGCGCGTGCCCCGGCGAGGAGGAGGAGGAGGAGGAGGAGGAGTTCAGCAATGGATGAGGAGGATCAGGCATAGACGGATGGCAGGATGATTGGGTAGGTTCACAGGGGGGGCGAGCAGGAGCAGGAGGATGATGGTTTGGAGGAGCAGAGGGAGCAGGATAAAGAGAAGGCATCGGAGCTTCGCCAATCATTGCCTCATCCTCTGATCAAGCTGCTCCTGATGACAAGCCGTCACCTCATCAGCCCTCTTATTTCTACACTTTTCTCACGACTGCTTACTCGAAGATCGCATCGCCTCTCGAGCGTGCGATCTGACCCCTGACCCTGGCAGATGCCTCCTGCCAACTCGTCCTTGCGAGGAGCCTCCAGAATGAATTTCATTCATTCACCCTCGAGCAGCAGGCCAGCTGTCCACGGGCACAAGTTACTTCAAACCGCAGGCCAAGCAAGATGACTGGAGGAGTGGAGAACCAGATGTGAGGAAGTCTACTCTGAGAGGAGACGAGAAGAATCAAAGAGGTTTCACTCGGAGCCCAAACACTCAAACTCAAAAGTGATCCAGGAGATTTCGGCGAGACCGATGCCCCCCACCAGTCTGAAAAAAAACTTGGGCCCCTGCTCAGTCCTCGCGTCAGGGCCGTGATCCACTCATTCTGGCACGACGCGTCCTTGCCTGCCTTCTCCTTCGAAGCCTTAATCTTCTTGAGCCGCTCCACTCCCTTGCCGTCGGGGTTGGCGACGCCCACACGGAAACCGAGAGAGGCCTGGCCTACCACGCGCTCGGCGAAGATGAAGCCTGGGGCAGGTCGGGGCATCAAGAGAGCAGAACGCAATCACATGAGAAGCCTTACTATTCGATGTCAAAACGATGTCATACAGGAGCTAGTGTAGTTGTTTGCCTGGATTTGCAACACTCCGAACAAAAAACTGGGGAACTCTCGACATTAAGAATGAGGGGAGCGAAAAGCAAGGTGGAACCTGCAGGCAGGTAGGCGGCAGTCGCGCCGTCGACTGTCGCGTGGAAGAGCACGCCGCCGGAAGTCTTGTATTGCTCAATGGCATGCTTCGTCATGCCCCTCAGATAGCTGTTGAAGTCTGGCATCTGGAACTTCGCGATGTCCACCTTCTGGCTTTCCATGAAGGCGGCCAGAGTAGGCAGCTCGGTCACCACGATCTTGCGCACGCCCGAGATGCCGAAGCGAAGACTTGGCACGAACTCCTTCTCGGTGCCGAAGCTGTCCACCCCAGACATGATGGCGAAGATATTTGGGGCCATGCCACCCCGCACCTTCTCTGGCGCAGCAGAGTCCACGATGATGTCCTTGATGCAGGTCTTGGCGTACTCGCGCACAGACGACTGCACGCTCTCAGGCACCTTGCAAGACATGCGGCCATCCTGCTCCTTCCTGATCTTCTGCTCGAACTTCGCGATCAGCTTCGTGAAGTCAGTGATCTGCGTTGTCACGACGTCGATCTTCTCAAAGGCCTCCTTGTTCTGGCTGATTCCGACTATGAAGGACGCAGAAAAGTCGACACCGTCCGCAGCCACTGGGTAAGTAGTGATCTCCTGACCGATCTGCGGGGCTATCTCGAACAGCTGCACGGCCGCTGCTTCCAGCTTTACTGGAACAGTTGCTTGCTGCGAGGCCTTTGAACTCTTTTTATCGATCGTCTTCTTCGCTTTGGCGATGTCGTCCAGCGCCTTGCTGCAGCAGTTGATCAAATCAGTGATCGGAGCCTTCTTCGTCTGGAATGTGTTGGTTATCTCTTTGATGCTATCCGACGAAGCCCCGTCCAGCTCGTCGACGAAGTTGGCGAGGGTCGACTGCAACACCAATTGCTTGTAACTGCCGCAAGGTGGCATCTGGCCGAGCTGCTGGCTCGCCAGCTCGGAGCTCGTCCCGTCAGCAGCAGCCTTCTCCGGGCTGGCCTGAGGTCGAGCAGGTTGAGCCTCGAAGGTCCGAATGTACGAATCAAGTTCTTGTTGAGCTGTGTCCGTCACGTGTCCGATGGCCTGGAACCGCACTTGTGCCACCGCCAACTCGCCTCTGATCAACTTCTTCTTGGCTTCGTCCATGCTGTTGATGTCATCGATAGACGCCTTGAGCTTGCTGTAGAGATCATTCGTCGAGGACTGGACCTTACTCATCTGGGTCCTCAGGGTCCAACGAGCCGCATTGACTGCGCCAGCGATGTCGACCCACTTCGCCTTCGCCTTCGGCTTCCCAACAACCGTCCTGGCCGTCTTCGATTCAACTTCGTCGTGGCCGCCGGTGTCTCCGTGTGGGCGTTTGTTACCGTCCTTGCCGTCCTTGTTGCCAGCAGTTGCGTCCTTGGGGTCCTCCTTGAAGTCAGCATCTTCGTCGTCATCGCGACGGCCCAGGATGGTGACGTCTGGGAGTTGCATGCCCACTTGGCTGAATGCCTGGCCCGAGCCAGAAGAAACGATTCCGATGGCGACGTCCTGCATGTCGGAGCTGCTCGGGCCTGTACCCATCTTGTCGAAGTTGCGGAAGGTCTTGCCTCTCAAGTTGTCCCACTTTTCCTCAGTCGGCTTCTTGATCGATGCCTCGGCCCTCTCGATATGCTTCTCAATCGTCGCAGCATTCTTGAAGTTGACATTCTTTCCCATGAACACCCGCAATTGCATGGGCTTCTTGGGGTTCGGTCCGTCCATGTCCATGGGAATCTTCCTCTCCTTGTAGTTCGCTGCCATGTCATCCCATTTTGCCTTGGCCTCGTCGGCCCCAAGGGCACCACCCGGGGTAGTCTTCCAGTAATCGATGGCCTCGTCCTCCCACATCATTTTGCCCGCGTCGATGTTCTCGACGCCCTGCTCAGTTTAGTAGACCTCCTTGCGCGACCATGAACCGAGCCTTCTTGGTGTCCTCCGCGCTGGCGATGATGTTGCGGTAGTGGTCTAGCATCTTCTTTATTTTGGCATCGTCTGCTTTCTGCTCGGCGAACCATTTGGTTTCGCTTTGAGTTTTGGCTTGGCCGTATATGCGGTCCAACAATTTCTTGCATTTCTGCTCGAACCTCTGGTTCATCTCGAAGGTCTCCACGGGCTGTGACTCGTCGCATCCAGGGCACCAGAGGAACCCGCACGCTGCTTGCGCTTCTTCGACTTCGCCGTCGCCTTGGGTTCTGGCCTCTGCTCTGGATGCGGAGTTGGAGGCAGCGGCAGCAGGGCTCCAGCCTCGGCTTGACCTGCCTCTCCATCAGCTTCAAACGTCGCTTCGAACTCCGCGCCGTCAGCCATGGTCGTTGGCACAGTAGCTCACAGCCAATGCGATCCTCGAGCTCGCTTGATCCCAATGGGCTACTGACAGGGCACTGCACCGCAACTGGCTTGCATATGTCCAAGTGACTTGGCCAGAGGACGTCATTGTGGAAAGCCCAAAAGGCCGAAGACCCCAGCACGGGCGACAGAGCCCGTCGGTTTAGGGGGGGGCAGGAGGTGCAAAGGAGGAAGAGGAGATGAAACTGGATGGAGGAGCAGTCTGATGGGTTGGAAGAATAAGGAAGGCGATGAGGATGAGGATGGGGGAGTGCGTGGAGGAAGAGGAAGAGGAGGAGGAAAAGGAGGAGGAAGACGTTCCAGGATTGTTCGCAGTTGCCGAGCATCTCCAAGACGGTCTGAGAGACCTCCAAGACGCCCGATGAGGCCTCCGAGAGCACCCGCACGAACGCCCCAAGAGGCAACATCCGTTGATGGTCACGGGGCGTGTGACACAACGGTTATGCTACAGCATGTAGTCTCTTCCCCCAAGAACAGCACCTCCGGGAAGGCTCTCAGGAGCCCCCCCTCCCCGAAAGGGCCCCAGAGGGTCCCGAGATGGTGCCCAAGACGGCCCGAGGAGACTAACGAGTCCAAAATGGGCGCAAGAGAGGTGCTGCCACCGCCGCGAGATCTCAACTTAACCAGCATCCAATAAGAGGCCTGAAGCCCACAACCCAGGAAGGGAGGCGGATTGGCCGAAGGCCGTTGGATATTTCAGGTCTTTAGAAGCTCTCTTGAAGCCCTGATGGGGCCCTCTTTGGAACCTCGTGGAGCCTTCCTTTGGGCCAGGGGGCGTCGCCGACTCCAGCTCGCCACATCGTTCAGAGCGCAAGCACACCTCGGCTCCGAGGGGGGTCCAGATTCGCAACGCGATCTCGAGCTCGAGAGAATCGAAGCAAACGATGGCTCTCAAGCGGTCGATGAGCCATCATTCATGTGCACAACAGAATAGCATGTAGCTGTTTTTTCATACATCCCTCCTGCTTCCTCCTCCTCCTCTACCTACTACTCTTCTCCCTCCTGTTCACCCTATCCTTTTTCTTCTCCCCCTCCAGCCTCCATCCTCCTCTTCCTCCCATCCTTCTCCTCCTCAATCTTCTCCGGTGCCATTTTGCCTCAAGACACGCTTGCCCAAATTGCTGTCTGCTCAAGGCCGTATTGCTAATATTTCTTTGACGCCTCAGTGAAGCCCTGGGGTCGGTTTTACAAGAAGCTGTTCTTGCGAGCTGCTGATGTGAGGACGCCTCGGCGGCCGCGGGGCACTGAGCCTCCCAACAAAATATGCAAGCACTTGTTGTCATGTTTTCCTTTGTTGAATGAGGCGCTAGTCTAGAAAGCCATCTAAGTACGTCGCTGATCCACACTGCGACAAGATGTAGTTGCGCCAGGCCGCTCTCAGCGATCCAAATCTGACTCCATTTGAATCCCAGGGTCTTCCTCAGGACCGACAGACTCATCGCTGGAGACGCAATTGATGTCCTCATCCGCAGGAACTTCAGTCAAGACTAGCATGCCAAGCACGGTCCCGACCACTGGGATGCTCATCATGTTGCCCGCTATCTCTCGGACCCTGGTGTACGACAGCTCATCGAACGAATCGGGCTGCAAGGGCATGACATCCTCTGGGAGGGGCGGGGCGCAGAAGAACGGGGCGCCATGCGTGCAGAGGTGTTCGATCCCAGGTAGCAGCCGTTTTGTCTTGAAGCTGTAGATATGACTGTTCTGCAGGAGATTGGGCATCAGGTCGTGAACCTTACCGATGTGGTCCGCGTTCTGCTGCAGGTTGCACAGGTGGCAATTGCTCCCACCTGGGGCCCTCCTGAAGATCTCGTACGACTTGAGTCGCTGCTTTAAGGCGAAAGACACTACGCACATCCAAGATATGTTCTGAGCCAGGCGCTCAGTCTGGATGTTGTGAGTTGGCTTGAGCATAGCAAGGAGCCTCTCACGCACAAGCCCAGGCGGGGCACAGAAGAAGGCCTCTGATCCAAGTACAACGCTGCGCTCGGCAATATGGAAGGACATTCGATGGCACATCACCTGCACGAGGCGCTCCTGATTCCAACCCGTGGTGTACAAGCGTGGCCTCGTATTCGGGATGCCATGGTCCTCTGGGGAGACCGCGATCTCGTCCACCACGTAGCTGGCCTGGCGAACGAGGCCCGCGAAGAACTTCCAAGATGGCCAGAGCGGAGTGCACTCATTGATGATAGCATGCGGCTTCTTATTGCCTAACCAACTTCCCCAGCAGATCGAGGGCAGAGATTCAGGATCCAGCCATCCCAACTGGTAGCCCTTGATCGACCATGGAGTGCAGGTGTTGCCCCCAATTTCGATCCATATAGTATTGGGACCAATCGGTGGCGTCACCCGGCAGTAGTTCTGGCACATATAGCACCAGCAGAGGGCCTCAACGTTCAGCCAATCAATCTCGCCCAAGACCTGGCATGCACGAGCAAAGAAGCTGTTACCTTCGTCCTTCACCGAATCAGAGAATCGCCGTGGCGATTCCATGGCAGCTGTGCGGTGCTGACTCTGAATGTCCCTGAGCGCGTCGCCGATCTCGTTTGGAAGCCTGTCCATGATGTTCCCGAAGACGTGTTCAGGGCCGCCGCCGCGATGTTTTAACAACAAGGAACGGCGATCGTAATCATTGTCGGACGCACTGTAAAAGCGACCGTTCAAGGGGGGGGGGGGGGGGGCCTCTGTTCCAGCGCATGCCTCAGGAACATCGCGCCCCACTCAGCAGAAACAACTCCTGAACAACTTGTAGTAATGATGATCTCTTTCTCCTGCAGCGCGCCAATGACATCGCCCAAGCTCTGGGCGTTCCCTAGCTCTGTGGCAGCTGGGATCGAACGATCCAACTCGGTCAACAGTCTCTCGCTGAAGTCGAAGATCTCGTTGTAGGTGGCCAGGCCGTTGGGCAATGTGATAGGCAAGGTGACTCGTCGACATTTCGTTCTACCATTGTCGGCATCTGCGTCGGCCTCCAAGGCACGAGCGCTCGCTCCGCGGGGCAATCCACCGAGCGAAGCCATATGTTCGATGCCTCTTGAGCCTGCAACGGCGACGAGAGTTGGAGCCAGGAGCAATACGGATTGAGAAGGTGAACGGGCAGAGTGGGCCCATGAGCAGAGGGCCCCATAGGGCCATTGAGTTCATCGAAGCGTTTAGGTCTAATGACCGGCGGTTTAAGTCAGGCCCAAGAGGGGGGATGGCGGGCGCGTGACCTTGAGCGCGCGCGAGGACAGGTGACAGGCACGAGGATACTTATCAATCAAGGCCCACCCCCTCCCCTTGAGCTGGGGCGCAGTTTGCTTGGAAGCGCCCCTAGCCTTCGCGACTGAACTACCAGGCACGCTTCGTTACACCCCCAAGCCTCAAGCGTCAACTTGTTGACCGCTCATAGCAAATCGTCGCCCTATTAGCCGAAGGCGTACCTTAAGTGTCGATTGTCTCCGGTGCGCAGCGGGGGCGGCAGCAAAACGGCAAGAACAAGTCGCACTTGTCTGCGAACCGCTGGATAACCTGGATCGCTGTCAGAAAGGCCTGGGGCGTGCTACGACTGGCTGCGTGGACATCAAAGAGGGGGCAAGCACCCCGAGCACCCCCGAGCACCCTCCCCCCAGAGGCTCTCCAGGACCCCCTGGGCACCCAAAGGCAGCTCCAGCCTTGATTTGCACACCCAACGGCCGACTCAGCCCCAAAACACATTCAGAACGCCCCCAGGTAGCGCTTGGGGCTGCTGGGGGGCGTCGCGAGAGCTCCTGTGGGCGAAATCCGATGGCCGATCACCGACTGGCGAAGTGTCGAGCGTTTCCAGCTTCGCAGACTGCTTGCTTAAGCTTTCAAGCCGAACCCCAAGCAACATCAATTGCGATTTCGGGGCGAATACGTGTCAGACTAACTCATCCAGCAATCAATGCGAATACTTGACCCCTCACGAAAGCTATGCGATGTGTGTCAATGTTTCAGACTTGTTTTAGACAAGACATGCATCAATCTGAATCCGACGACGCCGACTTCGCAGCTGCCGGCTCTGCAGCAGGCTCGGGCGCAGGGTCCACCTCTGCAGCTGGCCCAGCCTCGGGCGCAGGGGCCGAGCCTGAGCTGCTGGAGCTAGAGCTGGATTTCGAATCACTTGAGTCTGAGCCCCCATGCGAGTCAGAAGATGAGTCAGCGGCTGCGGCCGCTGCTCCACGACCACCGCCGCGGCGGCCTCGGCCTCGGCCTCCGCTGCCCCGACCTCGCGCGCCTCGTCCACCTGGTGGGGGCGCTGCTGCGGCTGCAGCCTCCGCATCCACATGGACGTCAGACTTCACGGGGTGCTCTGGGCCGTCCTCGATTTTGTTAGCAAGGGTAACTGCGTGGGCAGGGACAAGATCGAGATGCAATTTGAAGGGTGCGATGTGATACCGTTGACGGTCATGATGCCTTGCTTGGTTGCGCCA